AAAGAAGAAGCAGAGGTTTCTAGTATTAGATGCATTCCAGTACTATGCTTCACAGCATTAAAAAGGTCAAAATGATGGATAAATATTTTGCATTAGATATTGCCACTACACTATGACTTGGATAATTATTTACGCATTCAATATGTAATGGATTGAGGTTAGAATTGAAAATGTCGGACATGCCAAAGCCACACTCAGGCAGCTTTTTGTCGCCATGCTGATGTTTTTTAAATGATCTATCATCTTTGAGCCAGCCCCTGGGCAGCTGGCTGGGCAGGTGACTCTGCTTGGCAAGGGCTTGGGGCCAGTGGCCTTCAGAGTTCCCTGCCAGCCTTGGCCACAGTGTGATGTGATGTGATGAGGTGTTGCCTGAGAGAGTTTCTTTCCCTTGTTAAACTGTCTGTATCTTGGCCCATGAGTGTTTTCTCACATTTGCCTTTGTGACTCTCTCCTCAGTCCTCCTGAGGGAGAGGGCAGCAGGATGGGGGGTCACCTGCCAGCCAGGGCTACCCCAGAAGGGACTGCAGTCCACAGAGAAGCCAGGTGGGAGCACAGGCAAAGCAAGAGGCCACTCTGTGCACACACCCTGTACCCCTGTGCTTGGCCAGTGGCACTGAGTGTGACTTGCAGTGTAAGGAGAAAGGGAAGTCTGAGGGGAAGCTGAGCCTGGGAAATGGCAGGAAGGAGGCCAGATGGGTCTGTTTCAAATGAGCATGTGTCCTGGCTAACCCAAGATGTTGTTGTCCATATCTGTCCTGCCCAAACTTGTTACTGTTTCTTTAAGATCCAGTGCCATGGCTGGAAGTGGACACGCGAGGGACAGGGGTTGCTGGAGTTCCTTTTCAAAGTCAGGGGTCCTGCAGGCAGACCCTTCTTGCCTTGTGGTCTTTGCTCAAAGCAGAATCTTTGCCTTGGGTTTTTCTGTTGGTTTTTCTTTTTCCCCCCTCCCTTTTGTTCATCTCTTGCATCTTGGGCTGCCATAAGGCAAATTCCAGGAGTGCTCATCAGCAGCACGATGCCAGAAAGAACAGTGGCCCTGCTCCAGTCTGAGTTGCCCATAGCTTGCCAGCAGTGCCCAACCGAGGCAAGAAGGCACCAAGTCACCCCAGCCCAGCTGCTTCTCTGCCACAATGAAGGCAAAATCACTTCATGAGTTCTGTTTGCTGGGTATCCCCTCTCAGAATGTGTCAGCTGCCTTTGCTGATGGAGAGATAAGTAGGGAGGAAGGCTGATTCTATTTTCCCTTTGTCTCCCTAAACATGGTTGCCTGTGGGGGATTCCATCTTGAAAGGGGGGAGTACCCCTCTATTTTGAGTTTTTCTTTGTTCCTGTGGAATTTGTGGGATTTAGCAATTTTGTATCTAGTAATTATTTCCAGCAATAAGGAGAAATTAAGTAAGAATAGATCTAAGTGGATTGTGTACACTGGACCTCATCTTGACCTACAGGGGCTGCATGTTATTTGAGTTTTGTCACATGAATCAGCACGGGACTGCGAATGGCCTCTCAGCTGCTCAGCAAGAAGTGACCAGCAGTCGTCTCAGGGGAGACCATGGGGACAAGTGTTCACCTCACTTGAGGACTGCAGAGATAAAAGGCCCCTTGTCTCTTCCCTCCCTGGCTGTGCTTTGACATCCTGACAGCCAAACACTCTCCTCTGGGACTAGGACTAGTGGGAGGGGTGTGGACCTTGTGGTGGCATAGCTGGACATCCCCTGTGTCATGCTGCTGGGGAAGCTGGTGTCATTTCTGGGCCCACCAGGCCACCACAGCATCCCTACTTCTCTCTGGGACAGCTCTGTGTGATACACAGAAGACTCCACAACTCGTAAAAGTTGTAATTATGCATTAGATAAGTATTAAATCCAGCAGCTGGGCATATGTGGGATCTTACCCCAGAGTCGTATGTGCTGAAAGTGGCAATCATTCCTTGTTTATTCTCTGTGAACTAGGACTGTGCAATATGCCTAATGCATCTTCATTCCCTGGCCCTGCCTAGCCTCGCTTCGTGTGGTAATTAGCCACCAGTCCTGTCTGCGCTTCCCCCGTTCGAGGGTCACCAGTGGTCTCCTGATGAAGGCTTCCAAGCTCTTCTTTGCATCTGAACTTTTCACCTTTCCTCTTTATGCATGCTCCCTGGCCCCCTGGTCATGGTCCAAGCCACAGGACTAGTCCTGGCCAGTTTTGGTGTCTGACCAACCCTTTTATCTCAGTATCCTGGCATTCTTGCCTTCTCTCATCCTGTGTTTGGGTTAAAACTCCTCCCTGTCACAAAAGTCCTGCATTCTTTCACACTGTTTTGCTATCACAGCTAGCAGATGTTCATCCGCTGTTGAAAGCATAGCAGAGGTTACAGAGACTATATACATTTCTCTACCAGGCGAAATACATTTTAAATGTAATATACATTTCCAAGTTAACTATTCCTAATAAATTAATCCCTACATTTTTAACTCCCTTGTCTCACATGGAAGGGAAAAGGTTTGGTGTCCTTTTGTCCCGATGTCTGACTCAGTGTCGTGTGGTGCTGGAGCTCAGCCTGCAGCAGCTCCATATGGACTTTGCCAGTGCCCCTACAGCTGGAGACACCAAAAATGGTGACACTCCCAATTGTGCTTGGAAGGGTCACATAGCAACATGGATACCTCTGCCCCTGTTGAGTGTGACTGTTATCAGGGCACCCCACCTCAGACTTCCCCTCGGCTGTGGTTTCAGCTCTGCCTTTGCCCTCAGCAAAGCCCTCACCCCCAGGAAAGGGAGAGAGAAACTGCAGGTGAGGGAGGAGTAGTGGATGCAGGACATTGTAGGGTGAGGCAGGCTCTGGTCACCCCATTGTCCCTCCAGCACTGGACACTGCTGCCAATTTGGACAGAGCAGAGAGAAGGCTCCCACAGTTTCTGTTTCCATGCAGAAAGGGCTCTTGGGGAGGTGGACCAGATTCCTCGCCAAAGCTGGTGGGAAGGAAAGGCGAGTTGCCAGGCTGCAGCCAATCCTCAGGCCCTTCCCTGTGGGGACATTTGGGGCAGAATTCAGGCTCCCCTACACTGAAAGGTGCAGGGAAGCAGAGAGGCAACTCCCAGGCCCCGTGGCATGGATAGAGCTCCATGGAAAGGGGGAAGGTGCAATATCCACTGCAACTCCCTGGAATGGGCTTGATGGTGGGATCCCATCCCCATCCCAGCTTGAAGATCCTGTCCAGCCAACTGCCACTGCTCCAGGAGTCCAGTGACTGTCAGTGGGAAACAGGTCTTTCCAGGCCCTGCAGCCTCTTTCCTCTTGGGTGTTAAGAATAATACGTTCCAGTTGCTGTTTGTAAACTCCTTACTTACCTTGTACCCCTGTCCCAGGTTTACTTACCTTGTACCCCTGTCGCAAATTGCTGTACCCCATATTTCTTGTTCCTTGTTCAGCCAGGCCCTGCCCCCTCTCCCAAGTTGCTGTACCCTGTGTTTCTTGTTCTGTGTTCAGCCAGGCACTGCCCCCACTGCTCCGAGACTCCCACATGGTAATTGTATCCCTTTCCCGAGTTGCTGTACCGTCCTGAGGAGGAAGATGACATACTGACTTTTATGCAAACGAGAGAGACCAGAGACTTATGGGATGCACCCAGACTGGAAAAGACCCCAAAACAACGAGCCACGCAAAAGGGAAGGAATAAAACCAGCACCATCTAACAAGGAAGACCCAGAGGAGTCCCCTGGCTTCTTTCCAGAGGCCGACATAACCTCGAGGAGACTCGACTGGGATGACAGCCTAGACTACGAGCCCTAAAGAAGGAGTCTTCCTGGGGACTCCTGTGAGGAAAGAAGGCCCAGCTCTGCCCTAGTGACAGAGCTGCAGGGATCCTCCTCTTCTGCGGTGTCCAGTGGGAGCAGTGGCGGTGTGCGCGACCCCTCGGGCCCCCACCCCAGAGCTGTGCTGCTTAATAAAGGCCTTTTTAAAAGGAGCTGGTCTCCTGGCCTGTTTATCACATTGGGGACCACCACCCTATGGTATCTAGTCCCTTCACTTCTTGCAGCTCAAGAAGAGCTCCTGGAGGATTGCTTCCTCCAGCTGTTCCTGCAACCATCCCTGACGCCACAGCTGTGGTCCAGGCTACAAGTGCTCATCACCTCAACTCTGGGAAGTCCCTTCCCCAGGATGAGACCAGCAGTGCTGAGGGGTCAAGGGATATTACCATACACTTTTCTCCTTCACTCTCTTACCCCTCAGATTTTTCCAAGGCCATGGCCCATCTCTCCTGCAGGTTTGCCACATCACTGGCTTATGCACTTGTGGCTCATCAGAGTGGCCTAGCCGTGGGATGGTTGGGAGGTGACAGAGGCATGGGACAAGTGCACAGCCTGGGGGCACAGAGAGCCCAGGCATGAGGCTTATGGTGGGAACAGGGCTTGCCTGCCCCATGGGAAAAACAGCCATGTTGTTGTTGTGAACCCACCTGGCAGCGCAGAGCAGGGGGCAATGTCTGTTCTATGCAGCTCCAGATACACCAGACACAAGTAAGGGACATTCCTGTCAGGAATGCAGCACATGGCCAAGTGACACGCCCACCTGAAAGGGGGGTACAGCAAAGGACTCAGTTCACCCACATCACTCATTGTCAAGGTGCTGCTGCAGCCATGAGAGACTGCTCCTGCATGCAATGGAACAACCTTGCTGACAATCAAATTCCCCCAGCACTCACAGCCATACTCAGGATGCACCAGCTCACTCCAAGTGGGAACCTCAGAGCCCTCCCCTAAACCTCAGTGCCAGCCCCATTGGCTGCCAGGGGCATTAACACCAGCAGAGCTGCCCGGGCAGAGCCAGCCTGAGGAGACCTCTGAGGCCACATCTCTCAACAGACTGTTCTCCCTGCTGCTGCACACTCTGGGCCTCACTGCTGGAACCATGCAGGCCCCTTACTGCTGCCTTCTCTCCCTCCTCCTCTACCCCGT